TAAGTAAATAGTGTTAATTTACCTATGAGGTTGGGGCAGTACTCAGTGCCTATGTAGTTTGTCACCAGGAAGAATTTTCTCACTAGTGTGAAATGGAATTTTTATTTTTTATAAAAATTTTAAAATAAAATTTTAATAATAATTTTTAATAAAAATTTCCGACTGTCTCCTGGGCCACATATCTGTCTCTTCAAGACCCTCTATGGAGGGGTACTGTGGAAATAAACTATACGTTGTTTATCATACTGAGTTACAGGCTCTCCTCGGTTGTCTAGGATAATAAGGTGGGTGTAGATTTATTATAAACTGTTTAGGTGGAGCTGGGAAGAATGTTTTGTGGGCAATAAAAATGCAGTGGGACATATGAGCATTACATCTTACTAAGCTGGGTTTTCTTTTGTTTTAAATAGGTCGAATATATTCTACCGTATTCCCAGGGGCACCGAGCTTCTGGTGTGGTACAATGACAGCTATACGTCTTTCTTTGGGATCCCCTTACAATGCATTGCCCAGGATGAAAACTGTAAGAATCTACTTTAGTTCTGAATTCACACTAAAAATGTACCTGTTTCAAAGATGACTTCTTAAGAATGTTTTTTGAAACTTGTGAAATGTGGTTCACTGTGATACATAATGCAAACATGCACAGGGCATTCCACTACTGTTTCCTTTCTGGCTCTTTGCCTGTTCACACTTTCAAAGCCTTTGCCAGAGTTTTCAAGAATTGCTGACAAAAGATGTGAAGTCAGCTGGTCTCTACTGAGCACCCACTGTGTGTCTGCTTGTCTGCTTGCCACTGTAAAAAGGAAAATGCCAGAGTTTCTGATCTGAAGGGAGGCGGTTTTGCTGGAGCCACACTCTAAACAAAAATGAAAAAAAAATTGCTCAATGAAGACATTGCTCAATTGCAATCACCTCTGCAGCCAATTAGGATAGTCATTAGAGTAATGAGTGTAAAAGCTATGGGTATAAGGCTGTAGAATTTGAGTCTTTCTAATTTTACTTGTTTAAAACCACGTCTAGAATCACAAATTTTTCTTCTATCATTGTTTTCCTGCCAACCATTACCTTTAAGACAGTAATAGACTATTTAGGCTGATGTGAACTTTCAGCAAGTTCAACTTGAACTTATTGCAAGTTCAGGTATTGATGCTTGGGAAACAGTTCAGGTGATATCCATATTTGGAAGATTTAGGCAATCCCAGTGTGCATTGGGAAGAATGCTAGCTTCAGTGATGTTATATTTTCCTGTTGCTAAGTGATAATTTGATATGCTGCAAAAAAGAAACAGAGACAACAGGTGGGCAGAGAGCTTAGTCTTGCAAGAATCAGTCTTCTCCTACTTCCTACTTCCTTCTCCTACTTCCTTCTCCTTTCTCTGTCTGTCTGCCTGTCTGTCTGTCTGTCTGTCTGTCTGTCTGTCTGTTTCACACACTCATCCCACAAATGTCCTCAGCATTACCCATCACAGTACTGATCTTGTCCTTGTTGTCTTTAATTCCTTTGAGAAAAAGACAATTGATAAAGAGCACAGTGCTATCAACTTTTCTATTTGAACCCTAGTTTAAACCAAGCTCCAATGAAGACATGTATGTTGGCATTCTCCTGACTCGTGGAGTTTCCCCTGGAAATTGTTCTTTCTGTTATGAAATCCTTGTTAGAGGGGGTCTCTGTTCAGTGGAATCAACCTCCATTTTGGGCATGGTTGTGTGGTTGGCATTAGAGAAGACACAAGCTTGGAGGTCACTCTATTCTCCCTTCCTCAGGATGACGCTGTGTCTACTTCCCTCATGACAAGAACTAGAAGAACATCTCGGCTAGTGGGCTTTCTGTGTGCTAGAACCCTGACACAAACTCAGCTCCTTACGTGTGGAGTTTGAGCTAAAAGGGTTTGGGAAATCCTTCGATGTTCTTTATTTCCTCCTTGAATACAGCCTCCTGCAGACTCTGAAGATGCTGAGTTGTATGTTAGGAATGTGTAGGTGTGAGCACACGGAGGCTTAGAGTTCTGATGTACAGCTCATAGTTCAAAGAGTCGTTAATTCCTATTTATTGATCACTTACTATGGGCTAGTCTTCACTAGGTGCCATAAAGGCAGAAGGAAGAAAACAGTAAGGAAATCCTACCCTCATGGAGCTTATGTCTAGGGGAAAGGTGCTGTAAATATGTAATTAGATGTTTGTATACTTTGCTGGGCAGTGGTGTGTTGTGGAGCTACTAAAGCAGAAAAAGGATAAGTATGCTAGGAGTTTGGGACTGCGGATTTAGGGAGTGACTTGAAGTAGTCCCCACTGACAGGCTAGCCTTTGACTGAAGACTCAAGGAGGTGAAGAAATGAGTCACATGTTATTCTAGAGATGGGCATCACAGGCCATTGAACTAAACCCCTAAGTGCCTCTTTATGGAAATGTCCCTGGCATGTGGAAGAGCATCCCAGAAGTTGGCCTGGGTATGGTGGAGTGAGTGACAGGCAAAAGCTAAGTCAGGTATGGCTGGATGGAAGGGCATGTTCTGGTTCCCTTTAAAGACCCTGCCTTTTGCTCTATGAGCCAGGCGATGGGGCTGGAATGGAGTTTTGAGTAGTAGTGAGATGGTCTGACTGAAGTTGTAGTAGGATTGATTACTCTGTCTTTTGAGTGCAGATTATAACATGAACAGTGATATAGAACTCAGGCGCTCTTGTAGAAAGTAGGGGAAAACTGATGGTGGTGTGGACCATCATGGAAGTGATGGAGGTAGTGAGAAGTAATTAGACACTAGGCATATTTTGAAAGCAAGGCCAGCATCATTTTCTGACATTTTAGGTACCCAGAAAAAAGGATGAGTGAGTCTCCTAGTCTAAGGAGTGACCATTTCCTGAATTTTGAGGTAGAAATGGAAGTGTGGGATGACCATACAGGAATTGCCATGCCTACTTGGATCTCTGGAGTAAAAGTCATATGTTCATACATTGTTTTCACCTCACAAGGCTATTACAATCATGGGGTTGTCTGGGGCTGGAGGTAGGGCATTTTGCTGTCTGTTTGCCATTCACAACCACTGGGCAGGTGGTCTGAGTATACCAAGTGGTATTTAGATTCAGAGCTACAGTGCCACTAACAATGTGCATTCTGGGCCAGCTCACCGTTTGTTTCCAGCCCTTTCTCTGGCACTCCCTGCCTGTATGAAGCATTCTTGAGGATTCTGACTGGAGTATTAAGCGAACTCTGCCAGGGCACGTTATGCCATTTCGGTCCTGAAATCACAACAGTGTGCAATTAGTTTGTGGCTTCAGTAGAATAGCTAAGTTGCCCCTTTCGGGTTCAGTTTGGAATTTAAGGACTGAGGGAAGTTTAAAGGGAATTAAGTCATTGGCTAAAAGGCTTAATGGTGACAGTGCCTCTTTCCCCTGAGGGTGTTATGGGAACTTTATTTCACTTCCTGTCTCAAAGTCATATATCTGTCATGTGATTGGCTGGCCACCCAAGAAACCAGCAGAAGGCTTTGTCAGATAGTGAGAGTAGAAACATGACTTCATTTGCAATTCTGAGATAGAATCCCATTCCATTTGATCACAGAGCAGCTGGCCGGGAAATGCTTTGTGATGAGGATTCCTTATTCTGTGCTAAGAAAATATTCGTGTGACCTAGGCATGCTGATGTGTGAAGGGGGATGGCAGAGAATTTAACAGATAGCCTTCCTCACCCTGAGCAGTTTAAATCATCTCAACCGATCAGCAATTCTAAGATGATTTTTGTCTCACCTTGCTGGTCACAGAATAAATTAGGTTTCAAAAAGGAGCTTTGAGTCTTTGAGAGCAAAGACTCCCCAATCAAATGCACCTCCTTATAGTGCTGAGGGCAAAGCACAGGGCTCCATGTAGTAGGCTGGGGAGACGCCTCAGCAGGTAACAGCACCCTGCAAGCCGGATGGATCTCTGCATGCAGTCATAGGACCTACAAAGTGGAAGGGGCGAAGCACACACACACACACACACACACACACACACCAGTATGTGCTCACATGCGTGGACACACATACATACATACACACCACATACAGTTAAAGTAAAGGTACACTGGATAAAGATGAGGCCTGCTATCACAGTTATAAGAGGAGATTAAAAATGATTTCAGACAGATTTTTCCTTCATTAATGAAATTGATACTGAACTAAGATATCCAAGGAAAATATGATTTTAGTTAGTGAACAGTACTTATTAAGCACGTTTGGTTATGAAAGTATCATTTTCTTCCCATGGTTCTTTCAACATGCAGCATACACACTTCCCATTGATCATGTGCGGTGGGACCTGGGGTTTAGTAAGTGCCCCCCCCATCAGCAGCATGTAGCAGTGGGGCCACTGGGTACACGCACTGCCTGGACACGTCAGCAAAAGCTGCTTACACTTAAAGAGGAGACAGTGTTCCTCACAGGCATCTGGGCTCTGGAAGCAATGCCGTTGTTGTTTTCTTTTTTAAAAAACTGTACTTAAAAATGTAAGAGGGCTCCAAAAGGGAGCGCCCCTCCATCCACTGTGGGCCTTTCAAAGAGCCTGAAGGAAC